CAGTCATTCTGGATGTTTTGTATCATTAAAACTATTAATTGGAGGACAAAATGTGCTAAGACTGAATTTTTATATTTCTATTTCTAGCTTTTTTTCAGACTATTGTATAATTTGCAACTGGATTCTGAAAATTAATCTGCAGAGAACAGCAAAAGCAGATTCAGATGTTTGTTTATGGAAAAAATTTGGCTTCATCATACATCTTTTACAACTAAGTGCACATATTCAGCACAGACAAGTTTTTAAGAAAAAGATATGCTGAAGTCAATGAAATTTTAGATGCTCAAGAAGCACATAGGTCAATTAAATTTTTGTTTGCATTGCTGCACAAAGAAAGTTAATGCATATATACCCTTGATCTATGAAAACACGTGCATAGTTCAGTCTAGTCTAAAAAGACAAATGTGGTAAGAAGCTATTGTTAAATCTGGAATTCTCTTTTCAAAGCATTCACGTCCTCAGTATATTTGGATGCCATTCATAAAATGTAACTGTACATTTTGTATTATCCTTGGGCTTGCAAAGCAATCAGTATTAAAAAAAGGAATCTCGCTTCTTAGAGGAATTCAGGGCAGACATGGATCATAACACAATAAAACAAATGCTTCAGCATTTAAGACAATGAGGCTAGATTTTGTAAGCAAGCATGCAGCTTTTGACTTGGGCATTTCTCTGAACAACAAGCATGGAAAAACAGAAACTTCCACTGTTTTTACATGGTGACTTTGAAAACTGCCATCTTTTTGCATGACTGCATTGACTCAGAAGTAAGTAGAACACTGTGATTACTGGGACTTGAGCAACACACTTCCATCCTTGCATTCAGCTGGACTTTTGATCTGTTATACCACTGATTTTGTGTCCCTTGGAAAGCAGGCAAGTTATGCTTCTGCTTCAGCTCTCTGTTACTCTAAATGCACAAACACAAGGATTCCAGCCCCGTTGCTCTTGTGAAAAGAAGTCTCAGGCTGTTAATATTCTAACTCATGGTATTCAAACTATGGTCAATCCAGACACAGTTGACCAACAGTGCAGATCAAATGTCTCCTTGACTTGACTGAGGAAAGCTGAGTATACATTATTGGTACATTAGCAATTTCCAAGAATTTGAGGAATCATAAAGGTTGGAAAAGACCACCAAGATCATTGTGACCAACCTTTGACTGAACACCACGATGTCAACTAAACCATGGCACAAAGTGCCATGTCCAGCTGTATCGTGAACACTTCCAGGGATCGTGACTCCACCACTAGCCTGAACAGCCCATTCCAATGCTTAACAAGGGGGTTAAGTGAAGAACTTCTTCCTGATGTCCAACCTGAACCTTACCTGCTGCAGCTTGAGGCCACGTCCTCTTGTCCTGTTGCCTGGGAGAAGAAGCTGACCCCGACTTGATTACAACCTCCTTTCAGGTAGTTGTAGAGAGTGATAAGGTCTTTCCTGAGCCTCCTTTTCTCCAGGCTAAACAACCCCCCATCCCTCAGCTGCTCCTCATATGACTTAGTCTCCAAAATCTTTACCAGCTCTGTCACACTTCTCTGGACTTGCTCCAGCACCTCAATCCCCATCTTGAAGGGCCCAGAACTGAACACAGTACTTGAGGTGTAGCCTCACCAGTGCTGACTACAGGGGAACAATAACCGCTGGTCCTGCTGGCTGCACTATTTCTGGTCCAGGCCAGGATGCCATTTGCCTTCTTGGCCACCTGGGCACACTGCTGGCTCATGCTCAGCTGCTGTCAACCAGCACCCTGGGTCCTTTTCCGCTGGGCAGGTTTCCAGATACTCTTCCCACAGACTGCAGCTCTCCATGGGGTGGTTATCACTGAAGACCAAGAAAAAAAGAGACAATGTTTACAATAGGATACAGTGTATACTTGTAAAATATCTGAAAACCAGCACTATAAACACTTCTAAGAATGCAGCTACAGTAAAGCAAAATAACAGTGCTGAGTTGTTCTGTCTGCTACTAACAACCACCTGAAAATATGATGGTTATGGAAAAGGAGTCCAATACTGAGGAAAACTGTTCAAAAGTGACAAGATCTTAGAAATCAAACACCTCTAAGTTACAATAAAGTAACTCAAGGAAGCTTTGTCCAGGTCTTAACAAGAAAAGGAGATCACAATACAGAACGCAGTATTGCAGCCACGAAGGAATTCTTATTTTATGGAATAGATTTTGAGCACTTTGGCACAGCAAACACCTTCAAGTCTATGTGAGGAGATGATCTACAAATTTTCAAATACTTTTAAATAATCATGCTGGTTGGTTTGGGGTTTTATTCTTTGATCATAACATTACTGTCTCCAGCTTTTTCAGTAATATTGTACTAAGCACCTTTCAGAAAACTTTCTACACAAAAAAAAAAAAGAAAAAAGGGAGATTGAAATGTACTCAACATAGAATCATCAAGGTTGGAAGAGACCTTTAAGATCAAGTCCAACTATTATTCTGTCACTCCACTGTAACTCCTAAACCACATCTTCCAGCACCAGATCCAGACACCTCTTAAACATTTCCAGGGATGGTGACTCCACCACATCCCTGGACAACTTATTCCAGTGCCTGACCACCCTAACAGGGCCAAATATTTTCGTTACACCTAATCTGAATCTCCCCTGTCTCAGCTTATGACCATTCCCTCTATTCCCCTCACTGCAGGCATGGCAGAAGAGACCATCCCACACCTTTCTACAACCCCCTTTCAGGTAGCTGTAGGCAATGATGAGGTCACCCTTGAGCTGCCTCTTCTCAAGGCTAAACAAACCTAATTCCCTCAGTCATTCCTCATATGATGTGTTTTAGGCCTTTTCTGAGCCTTGTTGCCCTTTGCTGGACTCACTCCAGTGCCTCAATATCCTTTATAAAGTGAGGGGCCCAAAACTGAACACAGTACTCTGAGGTGTGGCCTCACCAATGCTGAGTACAGAGGGATGATCACTTCCCTAGTCCCATTGGCCACACTATTCTTGATAAAGGCCAAGATGCCATTGGCCTTCTTGGCCACTTGGGCACACTGCTGACTCAGGTTGAGCTGTCTGTCCACCAGCACTCCCAAATCTCTTTCTGATGAACAACTATTGAGCCACTCACTCCACCCCCAGCCTGTAGCACTGCATGGGTATGTTGTGTTCCAAGTGCAGGATCTGGCACTTCACCTTATTGAACCTCATGCAGTTGTCCTCAGCCCACTGATTAAGTCAGTCCAGGTATCTCTGTAGAGTTTTCCTACCCTCAGAGAGATTGACACACCCACCCATCTGAGTGTCATCTGCAAATTTACCAAGGGTGTACTGAGTCCCCTCATCCAGATCATCAAGAAAGATATTAAACAGGATGCTTATGGTAATAGAAACCTTCTTCCTCAACCGATGATCCTAAAAAAATCACTTGGCTGCCTTACTGCTAACCAACTTAACTTCAGAGATGTTCATCATCATCTCCTATTTCCACTTTCTTTTATGTTTTGTCTAGTAAAGCATGCAACTGCACATAGTCTTTGCAAAAGAAATCTTCAGCTCTCTTTATACCTCAAATGTCTCATTAGAGGAGGCACACTGCACATTAAAGAAATAACTGTCACCAAATTAATGAATTTGAGATTCTGAAATCCCAAATCCTTTCATTTCACTTGCAGTAAGGGGAAAGAAATATGTCAGTGCACAAGAAAATTAAATAGAATCTGAAAACAAACAAGAATATTCAAGATTTTCTTTCTTGCTGAGGAAGAGCACTTTTAGACTTCACAGTTGAATGTTGGGTCACTGAGCCTCTCAAAGCAGCATCCTCTGCATGATCAACGTTTGGATGCTTAAGTTGACTTTGAAGAGTGGCTTCTTGGGTTATGCATATTCCTTCCAGACTGAGATCTGGCTTCATCACTTTGTTTTATAGCAGTTTTTCTTCTGAACAAAACCACAGAACTTCTAGTTCTCTGATTGCTTATTTTCTTCTGATACTCACCTAGAGGAAGAGGTTCTGCATACCACAAATAAAAATTAAAAATTACTGTAGCTACATTAATGGAAGACACAAAGATGAATTCAGAAAGAGCTAAAGTGTCAGAGAAATTAAGATACTTGACCTCTAAGACTTCCACACATTAGTGTATCAAGGTCAATGACAATTCCCAGTGTATACACAAGGAATTCCTGATACAAATTTTAAAAAGCAATTCTGGAGCATGCAGTGTGTATGCTCAATAGCATTTCAAAAGATTACTATAGAAAACTGATATAGTCACTATGGTTACAAAGCCAGCGTAAAAAGCCAAAGCAAAAGGTTTTTGACAGAAGGGGAAATTTCCTGCCCTTTAACCTTGATATCTAAGTGTTTTCAAGTGATGTCTTTCATAGCTCATTACCACTGTGCATGACAAAGTAAGGTTTGAAATCATAGGTGAACATTGAATAACTTTTCTCCTCTTCAACTGTTGCAATTCCACTGTCTTCAACAATGTGCATATATTTATTTTGACATTTTTATGAACAGGGATTTATTTCTTAAACATGAGTATCAATGACACCTGTGACAGATGTTTTCAGCAAAACATTAGGGGCCAAAGAATATTTATAACAGACAGGCAACAAATACTTTACAGTCTGCTTAAATTTAGGCAGGATGGCTGTGTCTTTGCAGCATTTTACAGAAACACATCACATAGAAGCCCCTGGATCAGAACACAGAAGCCCCTGGATCAGAACAGAGCATACTGCAATTGTAGGCATGAAAAAAGTCCATGAAAGCACCTGCCTTCGCTGACCACAAACAGGAGCACCCTTTTCTTTAGCTGGTCACAGAGTATTGTAAGCTAAGCACAGTAATTCAGTAGTATGTGATCTGAACGTGTCTCACCGTATTCAGAGCCACACAAACTATTCAGGCTGCCCTCTGCTGTTACCTCGGAAGCCCAACTAATTTTATAGGAAACAGCTTTCAATAATGTTACCCTTAGACTGCTCATTGTTTTCTGAAGCTTCTTGAATTCTTTTTTCTATCAAGTACACTGCTGAAACCAGTCAGTCCCATAACCATTGCTAATTCATTTGATAAAGTTTACTGCTTCATTTTTTTTCTCTGAGCAGGCCTAAAAATCCAAATATATTAAAGGAAAACAAAAGCATAAATAAACAAAAATGGGGATTAGGTGGAAAAATTGTATTTTGCACACAAAAAGGCCTTATAATTTACTTCTAAACAACAAAAATATATATTCTACATGTAAACATCTAAGAAAAAAAAAAAAACCAAAATCAACCAACAAAAAAAAAAGTACACAGCTATGACTGATTTAGGTCTTATGTAAATTTACATGAGAAGAGCCATGCATTTTACTGGAATTTTACATGTATAATACTTATACAGTTCTGGTCTTAGAGATGAAAATGTGCAAAAGGGAAATTCCACAAAGAATATGTAAGTAAAAAAGGCTGACAATACTCATTCTGTGCTGCACAAAGGTGAAATTTTGTCACAGATTTGTTCTTAAATTCATTACACTGTTTAATCACTTAATTTGCATCATTAACACATTTCTAAAACATACTGGCATTACTGATGACTGAGCAATAGATTTCTCCAAGTATGCAGAAACTATTTGGCTGTGCACACAGCTGCTGATGTGAGTACATCATCTCATGCATGATATAATAATTTGCTTAAAACATCACTTCCAGGTGTTCATTACAGTATCTTTGCTGTGCCTGACCTTATCTAGGCTGCAGTTTCTGTCCTTTCTTAAACTGTCAGTCCTGCATCTGTCATTGTAATCCACACTTACAGAACTAACCATGTACCTTATCATTTGCATCTGTTCACTGGTACTGAGAAAAAAAAACAATTTAGAATACCACAACAGTGTGCTGCATGAAGACATGCAACTGTATGCTTAGTTTTGCAACACAAAGTTATATTGAGTAACTTTCCTGTATGAGTTAAAGTACTACTATTTTGGTTGCTTTTAAAATTATTTGAGTATCACACATGATAGCAATTTTAGTAGCAGTAAGGATCCACAAAGTCTGCACACATATTCACTAATCTCTCCAATTTCACAAGGAGTAATATTACTTGCATGAACAAAATGTCGCAGGCTTAGGTGTTCAATGAATTTCACAAGTATGCTACTTACACAGGTGGGAAGGAAAGCTTGTTTGTCCCACTAAATTCCTTGTTTGTAGACAGATTCAGCATTCTGCTTGGATATTTAAGGTTTAGAGCTGGGAGCTTTATCTATGTTAGAGAAATTTTAGCTTAACAAAAGGGATTATGAAAAAAGTAACCAAGAAGATTATATTACAGTATAGCCTTCAAAAGTGAGTGTGATATTAAAGGCCCAAAATGTCTCCAAATATCACTATCTTATCTATATTATTTACATAATAGTAGAGGACTACAGAAGAATAGAAAAAAAAAAATAAAGCAGCGCCTTAATTAGTAATTCTAGGTGAGACAAGCTGTTCATTCTCCCCACAATGTTCTCAACACAAGCCTTTCCCTCAGTACACTTTTACTCAAAATTAAGCTTCAAATTCTAACTTACCCAATGCAATTTCTCATCTTGGTCCATTTTTCTGTGTGCAGTGTATGAAAACAGCTCAGACTTACTAGAGTCAGGGGGACCATAAATTAATTTCTGGTTTAATTACTACTACTTTTTTTGGTTTGGTTGGGTTTTGTTTTTAATAAAAGGCATAAAACATCCCATCTAACACGAGAACCCTTGTGGTACGTTAATTAGAGTTTTGAAATTCTAACAATACAGTTATATTGGGGGGAAGCTTACAACAGAAAAGTATCTTTTACTTTTATCAGCTTTCGCTTGCCAACTACAGGTAAAAAAACTCAGTGTTGACTGAAAGTAAGATAGGATAACACCTGCAAAGCCAGTGAAATGATGTCATACACTTTAGAACTGAAAGTGGGAAAACCAAAAAGTAATGAAGAAATATTTGCAACACAAAGGAAAACTGTTTATTATAACTTGGATCAAAATCAACAACTGCTAAAGGGTAAACTTACTTCCCCTCTCAAATAAAAGCATGAAATTAAATATCCTCAACAACTCCCCAATATTCTTCATTAATAGCTACTAAGACATTTTAAGATTAAAATTAAAAGCCAAAATATCTTTAAGGACTATTTACAGCTTCCTTCATTGCATGAAGAAAGCAGGGGAAGGAAGGGAAAGTCCTGAAGATAGCAGAAAGTTTTCAAAGCTTACTAACAAAGTTCCTGTGTTATACTAATGCATCATTTTAACTAGAACCTACATGTTATTTGAACAAGTTCTCTTTTAAACATGCAACACAGGAGAGTACCCCACAGGGTAAGACATGTAACTTGCAGGTTATTTAGAAAACAATCAGGACAGGGTAACTGGAAGCAAAATGTATTGCTCTGTAAATTTAAAAGTGCATTAAGGATAAAAATATTTTCCACCTATGTGGACATACCTACTGCAATGCAGTTAACAGAGAAAAGAAATTATGAAGTGCAAAAATTTAGTGCAGCAGCAGCAGTTGCACTAGGATTGCAGATACTACAAAACACTCATGAGAACACCCATAAGGAGAAGATTCCAAAATGTAAACACAGTGTAGACTTCTCAAGGAGCCTGTGCACATTTAGTATGGAAAGAGTAAAGAAAAGTATACTGGCATTTGAATACATTTAATCAATGAACTAACTACGAGGCCACTTAAAAAAAAATAAAAGCAGATCTGAATGCTCAGAGTGTAAGTTTTCTTATTTTCTGGAAGAAAGCAAAGCCTAGGACAGACAGTTGCACTGACTGTAAACCAGGACATCAATGCAAATGCATGTGTAAAGTCAGTGCTGAAACCTCTACAGATTTCAGTGGAGTCAGAGTTTCACCATAAGAAAAGTTTCAGAATCTGCTAACAAGTAAGTGGATGGGCTATTAGATTTCAGCCTGGATGATGTGTTGAGTCTTAAAGATATGAAAAACTAGGATATTTGTCAAAGAAGAAGGGATGATACTAGCAAGAGCATGCAGTGACATCTTTTGTCCAATCTGGAGGTTAAAAAACATGTTAGCTGCTTAGAACTGCTTTCTTAGTCCGTCAACATTATTATCTGCTGAAGCAGCCTATTTCTGCTCTACGTTTCAAAAATGCTATCCTATTATGCAAAAACAATCACACTGTATTCTGTCTATCATTAGACTGGACAATTTCAGACCTGACACGCAATAGAAGTTTCAGATCCAGGACACAGTTACCTACAGTTTCAACTGACAAAAACAACCTCAGGTGACTTGTCACATATTGAAGGCAGGATGGCACACAGGGCAACACAGAAACACAACTCAATTTGATAGTCAGGATATTCAAATAGCAGAAGACAAGAGATAAGACTTTCTTCTTAGCATTGAAGAGAAGCACTAGGAAAGGAAGTCTACTAATTAAAGAGCTACTTAAAAGGGCAGGGGAGGAGGGGAATCCTAGGGAGATTTAAACTAGAGACAAAGGACCAAACTGTCAAAACTAAAGTCAAGGGAAAAAAAGTGAAAGGAAAGGCAATGAGAAGAGTCTTGAAGGCTGCAAGCAAGTCTTGTGTATTGTTTTAAATGTTGTCTTTCTTGGCATTAAAAGAGACAGGCTAGCATAAACTGCAGGGATTGAAACATTCCCTACTGCTGAAGTTAACTAATGAATGACAAAAGTAGCAAGGGAACAGATTGCACTTTGGAGGATACCTCCAATCCTGTCAGGTGCTGTTTGTTACTTTGCCGGGCAAATTCAACATAAAAAGCAGACCCTTGTGCCACTACACACCAATGGTTACAGCTGAGAGGACATTTTCCCTTTGTCAAGCCCTTATTTAGCAGCCATCAGTTTTCCCAGATAAAACAAACTATGTAGGGCATTTTTTACATGTTCTTGGTTTAAAGTGTTTTCTCCTCTTGTGAAGAGATGGCAACAACATACTCTAAAAATTACTACCTATGTTTATTATACATACACATGTATTAGTCTCAGAAACATGAAATGTGATACATATTTTGCCTGGCTGATATATGACGAACAACTGACACTTGTTTGTACAAGGGATACAAATCTTGCACTTCAGTACAGAAGTATTTTGAAATGTTATTGGATGAAGATGTTATGTGGGGTCTCAACAGGCTTACCATGGCTCATCAGTTGCTGGGGGATCAGTTGCAGTGTGAGAACCAGTCAGGTGCAGCATATGCTGCTGAAGGGAACCTCATTACTGCAGGAGTGTAGTGCTTTAGTAGGTCAGGAGAGAAAAAGGAAAAAGCCACTACTTTTCTTACTTCTTATCTGGTTGCAAAAGCATTACCATTGTTTTCAGGTTGCTGTTTTGTCAGGAAAAAATACTTGCTTTCTTCAGTAAGGAGCATTTGTCTCCCTTGATAAACAAGACAGTCAGAATCTTGCAGCATTGCATTCCACTTGTAGCTTGTTTGTCTTGCTCTAAATGCTTTGACATGTTTCTACTACTTGGTCAATTCAGATTTCTGAATTTGCTGCCCTGCTGTAAGCATGTGTGCAAGTCATCTTCTCAAGTTCCTCAAGCTTCCTTCTTCAGTAAAGGAAATAACAAACCCACACATCACTATGGTACAAGAACAGAATATGTACAGCTGTAATGACACTGCTACAGTGTAATTGCAAAAAGTCATCACAAACATAATTTTATAAACCTCTACCAAGTTTTCTGATGATTTTTTTTGTGAAATTATTTTCACCAGACAGCTAGTTAAATAGCCCAAGCATAAATTGTAGAGACCTCACTCAAATGCAGCTAGACCATCATCATCTACTTAGTTCAGACACAGGACAAGACCACATGTTTTGCTAAAGAGTACTCATACACAATAGACTGCAAGGATGCCTTGACAAGGTGACCTCTTACATTTTCATTTGCTCATCTTTGCCACAGGTTAATTTCAGAACACCAGAGGATCCTTCTGTAACACCTACAAACACTTTATACCACCACAATTAAGTAAAACCAAAGAAAACAAAGGAAAACCAAACAAGCAAGAGAGATGCTCACTACTTTGGCTCCTTGCTTTGCCAGCCTCACATAAGCTGAATCGGTCTCTTTGATCCACTTCTTATGGCATCCAGACGGTGGCACTTCACTGGAATCTTTTGCAAGGTCACTGAGACTCTGAATCTGGGATGTTGGAGGAAATGGGCTCCTCTCTGGTCATTTCAGTGGCATGGGGTATTACCGCCCTGCAATGATGGAAAAGAAAATACTTTTGGTAAAAGTTAACTTCTACCATCCCTTTTTCAGGCAACTAACAAATTGAGCCCACCTGGAACATGAATAAGGTGCTGCATTTTGGCTTGGAGACAAAAGACCAGGCTGGCTTGTTCTGGAGGATATAGCACACACAGTTTCTAGAGGATCAGATGCAATAAGAGAACACTTGTTTCAGTTTTGAAACAACATTCAAGTTTTCACATAAAGTATTCGCATACAGGGGATCATGCCCCTTTATGCAGATAACTATTTCCAAGGACATCAAAAGCAGTGAGTGTCACAGGAAACAGCAGGAAACACTGTAGCCTTTGGTTTCCATTCCTTCTCTCGCATTAACAAAGGCAAAAAGAGCTGTCTGTTTGCAGGTCTCCATTTGTAGAACAACCAAACCGAATACCCTACCTGTCCACAGATTACTTTCTCAATCTCTAGTGAGCCAAATAAAATATAAATAAATCCTAGATAACGGGAAATTGGGCAGCAGGCAAATAAGAAAAAGCCAGTCCAAGGCACTGTGCTGTAGAAGGTGGACGGGCGCTTACCGGAGCGACTTCAGGCGCAGCTGGTGCCGTTCGGTCGGTGTGAGGGCACCACTTCCAGGCAGATGCCCGCCGAGTAGCTCCTGGCACACACACGCTTTGGCTGTGTCCAAACTCAGTCTCAAGGAACAACAGCCCAAAGCGTCGGCTCTCCCCGGCGTCAGGGCC